TCAAATAGTACATTTACTTATTTTTCACGAAAATTTAAATATAATTTTGAGAAGTTTTTTTCTTTACGTTTTGTGATCGTGAATATTATCATCTTTTTGTTAGACTGATTTTGCTTTGTTTGTTTTTTTTAGAGTCTACATGCTCCTTAGGCCTTGTGCCCTCTCTCTTCTATATAGAGTCTGCGCTCCATTTCTCTTTTGTATAGACCTTGCGTACTCCTTTTTTGAGCGATTGTACCTATTTTTTTGTCTTACATGTCCAAAAAGACGGATATATCTATTTTGGTCGGTTTTAACCTTTGAAAAATGATAGAGTTACCAAAAAGTTTACACCGAATTTGTGCACCGAATGACGTGGTAAAATCCTGACCGTTGATTAATATTAACTGATAATAAATAAACGGTCAGGATTTTACCACGTCATTCGGTGCATAAATTCGGTGCACACCCGTTGGTAACTGTAGTATTACTCTTAACCTTTTATTGAGGTATGTTCCTCGTATATTGTACATTTTTTTCTCTCTTTTATACATATTTACCATTTCCAAAAAAAAAAAAAATCTTCAAGCACTCATTTGAGGTTGGAATTTCATCCTTACGACTTAAATAATTGGCGGAATTTCCACTATGCATGTATCAATCTAGGATTTTCTTTAGATGCAAAATCACAATTAATTAACTAGTTGCCCGCCATCTCTTCATTTTAATTCAATGGCTTGATGTTTCACAAAACCCGTGCCGAGAATTAAAGACTATTAGGAAAGAATAAGCTGCTGATATAGGGGTCCAGAAGCCCTCTGAACTTACGATCAAATTAGGGTTTGTTTTTTTTTTCAATGAATCAGAAACTCTACTCAATTATACGAAGTGATTTGTGATAAACACACACAAAACCATGCTAGTCATGTGGACTCATGGTCTCTTTATTTAATCATAATTTAAATACACAGTAGTTTCCTTGCAAGCCTAAGACCGATCGAGGAAACCGGATATACATGAAACGTATATAGTACGTACGTGTAGTATTATTTCTGATGCCTATTCTTATATATAATTTGGCACCTAACATACCAGTTCCACAAAGTTATAAGCCACAACATACGTACTAGTTTCATGGTATTCTTTAGTTTTAAGGTTCCCTATCATTCCGATAAACATGGTGACTTCCAGTACTTGAGCTAGGATTTCCAGAATTAGCATTAGTGGGGTTCTTTTCCCGATCATCATCATCATGATCAGGCTGATCCCACCCCTTTGAAATGAACGCTTTGGAATCACTCAGCAGGTTACGCTGCTCCATCAACTTGTGCTTTTCCTCCAGAGTAATCCTTTTTGCATCAGCTTGCAGAGTTGCCGAGACCAGCAAGAAAGCAACAAAGAGTACCAGCAAGGCCTTCATGATCGAGCGTATAGCCGCAATAACCCTGTAAAGAAACAGCACAATTATTTCTAGTAATCCAAATGATTAATTAATTTCTAAGTAATGAAACTAAGGTTATGGATAGTACCAGTTTTTGCAATGAGAGAAACTAATATGCAGAGCGATCGCAAGGATGAGACAATAAATAGGCGATATTGTGTCGCTGTATAAGGATTAGATATGGAGGGTGAGAGGAGCACCAAAGTAATAATGCCGTGGGGCAATCGAAATTAATATTGGAGAGGCTGTGCCCACCGAAGATGTAATTATTATTAAGATTGATAATTACATCATTTCCAATTGTTGATGTTCAAATTTTCAATAATTAATCATAGATTTTGTTTACCCCCTAGCTTCTGGGGTTCTACATAAGGTGATTCATGCAAAAATGTGAAAAGTATATCACTTGCTGCAATCACTGTTATATATATATACATCTCTTTCAATTTACTGATCTAGTTTAAACTTATTGATGATGAGTTGACAACATGTACACAAATTTAGGGGATATATTGTATGGCTATAAGTTAATAAAAGGAAAATTCACTGAATTCTCCCCAATCTTTGGCTAAAAATTTCAGGCTAAGATGGAGTCTGATCCCATAAAAGCAGTTCAATTAGGAACCTCCTGATTGAAGACTAGCTACTCTTTTGGAAAGCATAAAAAAGCTGCTGCCAAAGTTTCTGAGCAAAGGACAAGTGCAATATTGTTAAGATCACGAGTAGAGACTTAGTCAGGATTTTTAGTAAGTGGGTTTAAGTCAATAAATTTACAATAAAATATATACTAAAGTAATAAGTATAAAATTTGAAATTTTAAAAGTTATACATACCAAATTATCAATACTGCAATTTGTATAGATTCAAAACATCTAAATTGGTAAAAAAATATTAATTAACTCAAATTTTTCAAAAGTTGACTGGGTTCAATTAAACCCACAATTGTGTATATGGCTACGTGTTTGATCACTGGGTTGACAGACATAAACTAAATGAACTGCCTTGGAATATCGCATATTACATCTTCTCAGTCCTGTGTATGCTAGCTCGAATACGATTATATATCAAAAGCCACACTAATTAGTTGGACAGTGTTGAGGGAACAAGTTAGAGATAAATTTAGTTTGGAATTAACACTTCTTTGCCCCTGCTTTCTTATGGACTACTGAACATAACCAGCAATTGAAAATTGATCACCACTACAAGTTTCCGAACAGGAAGTTCAAGCGTCGTGCCATAGAAGGCCTGATTAGGGTAAAATCTGCTTGATTGATGCACCAATGTTGGATAGTTGAAGAAATTAATCTTTAGTATATGTAGTGGAGGAAATGTGTATGATTAGCATTTTCATACTTAAACTAAATATGATTGATTAAAGTTAATTACAGTTAATTAGACAGATGACGTCTTGTCATGTGAAATCTTTTGACTTGGATAGATGGTAAGCAACCATAGTTTGTCCGGTGTGAAGATATAATGCTCTCTACCTTGATGCATACTCATTATATTTCTTCCCACTAAATATATTTTTAATTTTTGTTCTTTCTCCAGTATAGCTAAATAATATAAGTTTCCAGGAAGCGTGATTATTTTTTTTCAATTATCTTTCACTTTCTTCTCCACCTGAAAAGAGATCCTTTTATATTTTAATCCTGCCAAAACCAGGTACCATATTTAAAAAAAGAAACTTTATATTCGCACTTTGCTTTCTATGATTGGCATTGGATCTTCTTTCTTGACCTAATTTGATGATTTAAAAGATTTTGATGTGGGCACAAGGTATCTGATCAATCGATCTAAGATTAAAATAGGAATTTCTGCTGCTGATTCGCTTCTCCTATATCTTCACTTTTACTGTGTATTAATATTCTTTAAGGTCATCACTCATAACAAATATCTTTCTGATCAAGTGTGTGTAGAAAAGTTCAGATATTATATAGAAATTTAGAATAATATATACGTTAAATAAATAGTCGATATAATATAACTAAAAAAATTTAAAACAACTCAAGTAATAATTAGAATTCGGCCGTTGACAAAGTAATTAATATATTTATATATGTGATGACTGAAAAAATCATATTCCACCATCCAAATTTTAAATTTTCTTCCCAAGATTGATCACTGTTGCTACTGGTATATGTGTAAGCGTAAGGGTAATGCAGACTTAATGGTTTGGATCACCAATTTTAGTTGTTTTATGTCGAATCCAAACACATGGTAGGTGAGGTTCACTTTGAACTCTGGGCCGAACAGTTTTATCCTGAAACTGTGCATCTCTCAGGGGACTTATTGATGTATGCAAGATCTATATACATGATAGGTGGGTTTTCAAAGTTATTGTTTGCTTTAGACCCTAAGGCTCACACGGTTTTGTCTTGAAAAAACGTCTCTGGGTAGTGAGGGTGTCTTTGTGTTATATAAGTGACCAAGACCCTCATCTTCTAACTGATATAAGACTTTGGCACCAATATTAGTACATAATTTTTGTCAACGAACAGTGATAAATCCTAATCAAAGCAAGAGCTAGCAGTACTTAAAGAGATATGTGAGCTGAGTAGAATTGCACTATGTTATCATATATCTAGAGCTGCTAAATATCCCTATGCAGAAACACGACCAAATTACTCCCTATCCATTGAGTCTCTGTTGTGAAAAAGATAAACTATTAATTTTTCAAGTTTACATAATAGAACAAGAGCGTGCATAAATTATTAATGATATTGTAGATGGAAAAATATACTCTATTATACATAGAGAGAGAGTTATGTCGGAATTCATTGACACAAATCATGTATTTCTTTTTTAATGCATAATTTTACATGAATACAAACAGTGAATCGAATTCATGATAGCATTAATTAACTAGAACATTATTTATTTTTACTTTTGCAAACTATAAATCTTGCCTGCAATTAGACTGAGAAGTTTCTCATTTAATGGTTTTAATTGCGCATCAGTTTCTAAATGAAGCTGATTTCTGCACCCGTTTTTTTCCCATGCTCAGAATCCTTATGACTTTTGCTAGTATGGAGGGGCGGATGCTATTCTAGTTGAGGTTGGCCATGGTCCACCCTCAAATTTATTAATATTTGGCTCACCCTCAAATTTAAAAAAAAAGTATATATATTAATATATAAAATTTTTGTACCCTAACAAAAATATTAATAAACAAAATATTAATGTATAATTAGCTTTTATTTTTGCCTATCTTAACATAAATTTCTGGATCCGCCATTGTTAGTATAGACCTGAAAGAAGCCAATTTCAATGGTTTTACTACACATTGATCTAGGGTTTCTTTAATCCAGTATTTTGTTGTATAAAGACTCCCCACAGTTTGCCTCCCATCTCTTCATCTGTACACGTACCACGCGAAGCCCTTATGCACAGTGCATCACAACAAAACATCGGCTTGTTATAATGAGGGTTTCTTTTTCTGGCCTTTAAATATCCTCAATTGTATACGTCCACCAAGAATTCTGTATCGCCATGTATAACAATTAATAAACACACAGAACCATGCTAATCATAGAGAGGCATGGTTTTTTTATTTCATTATTTATTTTGGGTACAAAGTGGTCGTCCACTTACAAGCCTGACAACGAGAAACATGTATAGTACATGTAACTGAAAGTAAACAAGCCTGACATGTTAGTTTCACATTATTGTAAGGTATTCATATAATTTATATAAACTCCATCGATATATTAACAAGAGCTTTAGTTTTTGGGTTGCTGATCGTTCGTATAATAATGGTGACTGTCAGAACTTGAGCCAGTGGGATTGCCATACTTATTATTGGTCGGGTTCGCCTCGTTATCATCATCAGCAGCTCCAGTGTTAGCAATTCTCGAACCTGTATTTGTCTCACTCAGTAGCTGACGCTCGTCAGAAACCCTCAGCTTGTGCTTTTCCTCCAAAGTGTGCCTTTTTGCATCAGCTTGAAGACTTGCCAAGACCAGCAAGAAGGCCACAAAGAAAACAACTGAAGTCTTCATCATCGTTGATATACCTGCTATAACTCTGTAAGCTGAAACACAATTAGTTTTAGTTATGAATATGATAAGATAATTTATGCAAGCTTGAGAATTGCTTAAAAACTAGCGTTATGAGAAGTACCAGTTTAATTAGCCAAGGAGAAAAGAAGTGCGCAGAGGCATGAAAGGATGAGTCAATATTTATAGGCGAGTTGCATCCCTATTTAGGGAGTAGAAAGAAGGTCTGAGCACTTAGAAAAGCAATGGTGCAGTGGGAAGTATTGGAGCACAATTGGAAGAGGCTGTGGCCACTATAATTATGATCGATAATTGCAGCATTTTCCATTCGTTTATGTTGATATTCAATTTTTTAATAATTGACTATGGATAATGTTTCCTATTCCAGGCTTAATCATTAGGTGATTCATGCATAAAAAGTTAAAAAGAAAAAATTAATCTAACCACAAATAACTAAGCAGATCTAGTTGGCCTACAAAGTTAAACTGGAGGAAGCCCATGAACTGAAGAATTCCATCTGTAAAGCATAGGATTATATAGCAAGAGCCACCTAAGTACAGTTAATTTCCCGTCACAGATGAACATAAGCTTTAGCAAAGCTGCTTGAATTTGATTACTACAAATAGACTTCCTCTATCTTAATTTCATTTTTCTTCCCAAGTAAAAAAGGAAATAAGCAAGGTACCAAGAAGGCTGAAGAGGGGAGCCAAGAGAGATTGCATTTCCCGTTTCCAATGTATCTCTATGTCTTTGTTATTGGAAGCTGTTAATTTCGAAATTAAAAAAAAAAAAAAAATTCACCAGGTGCCCTTGGTGAAGCTGCAACCTTAGCTCCTTCATGTGATGCTGCTGCTACTGAGGAGCTAGAAGAGGAAAAGGAGGAAGTGATGGTTGCTGCTGGAATGAAGTCAGATACTGAAAATGCGGAATTCAGGTTGTTAGTACTCTTGTAGTTGTTGTTATATTAGTTAGTTGGAAGAGTGAACTGGCTGTATATATAAAAACAGAGATATAATGCACTTTCTTAAGTGATGGGAAAAAAATCAGATTCTGTTTTTAACTTTTTCTTAAGGGTCGTCTGAGAGTTTCTTGGTAACAGGAATGTGAGTAAACCATCGTAACGGTTTTAAGGATAAATCAT